TCACTTTATTCGTTGGCGTCACTTTCCCTTTCTTTGGGGATCTTCTTGGTTTCTTTGGTGGATTTGGTTTTGCTCCCACTTCTTATTTTGTAAGCGCTACTAGTCTCCATCAAATTTATTCTTGTTTGAAGATTTTGGGTCACAAAGGAATCCACTTATCTGGGGTGCTTTTTTGGCAGCTTCCAAGCATAATCTGGTTAAAACTCATGAAACCAAGAAGATTTAGCGTCTCATGGTTTATCAATTGGGTAAGCACGATTGCATAGAACGTAGTCAGCTAATTGTAGTTAACAAGGGAAAACTGAAAACATGGCTGACGACAAAATGGCCTAATCTCTGTTTGCAGCATATGATGGCAAAAGAAAGATGATGAACAAAATCTACAGATGCATCTTTCATTAACTTCTGATTATTTCATTGATTGCAGTCATGCATTTTCATCGGAATGTTTATCATGATTGCTTCAACTGTTGGTGGGCTGCGGAATATTGTTGCTGATTCCTCCACTTACAAGTTCTACACCTGAAGATGGTCTGTCATTAACCAATAGAAGCATCCAAATATTAGCCTAGCTAAAGTTTCTCCTCTTTATTTGGCACTTGGGTATCATAAGCTCGGGAACACTTCTGTAACTCTTATCATTTTACCAAAGAAAACAAGTCCCTAGTCCCTACAAATTATATGATGTGTTCCTTGGGTGAGGTGAATTTTGGCACTTCGATTCCATAAACAATGGCATCGATTCCTTCATAAACAATGAGTTACATAAAAGGGTAACACAACACCCTGTGTGGTTTGCATAATACTACATGATCATTCTAAAGTTTCCAAAAAAATGATATGATTCCCTTGTAGTTTTGCGTAAAATAAAAATGGACGGAAAGCATTTTTGGCTGGTGACAGAGACGCACTTTTGCATTTGATGCAAGTATAATAACAACTTATTCCTTCTACATAAATATCCATGCAACTTCTTGTAATTTTTTTTATCTATTCACATAATCTCCCCTATAATTTGATGCAAAGTGATTAGACCCTTATTCATCATTGAGTTCTCAAATAAGGGCAGTATTATGGCATTTCAACTAACAACATTATGAAATTTTGTTAAAATTAATTTTTATTTTACATAAAACTATAGGAAAGTAACGTGGATATTTAGAAATCTTAGGAGATCATGTAGTATTATGCAAAAGCACAAGGGCGACATAAATAATTTATTCAAGATAAAAATCATTATCAGTAACAACAAAGCTAGTTGTGTGGTTTCATTTCCTAGCTATGTCCTTCATTTAGCTTCAAGCATGTCTCTACTCTACAAAATCTTGAGAGCATTATTTCATCTGTGTAGGTGATCAAATTAACTGCCCGCAAACCGTAATCAGTGAGAATTAACATACGGAACTCAAGAAATATTTAGCATCCTTATCAAGTGATGTACAACATAGGAAGCTAAACTACTAAGAAAGTCTAAGCTGGAGCTTATCTTCATCCACTGTGCAATATAGCTTGGAGAATCATTGGACAAAATATTTCCAAAAAATTGCTACAAAAAGCACATTAGATACCAACTTTAGAGGCAAGGGTCCCGAAGGATTTCTTAGGTAAGGAAAAGCTAAATCAATCACAGCCTAAAGTGTGATGCCTATAATTTAATCTTATAACCACACAGTAAATATTGAGCTTAGTTGGTATTAAAATGTTTCTTGTTGGATAAATTTTGTACATAGGTAATGGTTTACAGTGGCATCGTTTTTTGGTAAGTGGGAATCAAAACCTTCTACTTACAATCTCTTTCTTTTGCTATCGAACCCAACCTTCCTGTGATTTATAATTGCACTTTGTATCCCTAATAAATTGTAAGCCTTCTTGAAGTCTTGTAGACAATAAGACAGAATAAATTACCTTGGTGAAAAAAAAAAGTTAAAGAAAATAGGGGCATATACGGGACTGAGAAAGAAATTAATAGGCTATATAGGATTGATTTCAAAGAAACACCTACTCCCTCCGTCCCACTTTGTTAGTCTTGTTTTCCTTTTTCGTCTGTCCCAAATTGTAGTCCACTTTCCCATTAAAAAATGTAGTAATCTTTCAAATTATCTAAAATACCCTTATTAAATATCTTGTTATTAATACATTGTTATTAAATACTCACCCACTACATTGAATACATTGAGTTTTTCCAATACATTGAATACATTGACTACATTGATTAGCATAAGGGTATTTTAGGAAATTATTAATCTAAATTTATGTTTCCAACCAAATTAATTACACTTTCTTAATCTGTGTGAAAAAAAAATCAAGACTAACAAAACGGGACGGAGGGAGTACTTTGTTTGTGGTTCCGTCAAAATTAGTGCGCTCTTAAAAGGCAAAAATTGGAAATGATTACTCATTACCAAGCTTTACGAACTCTAAGGCAGGCCTCAGCTTCTTTAATTTGGAAGATGACCAGACTGAACACTTTTTTTCTGCTTTAAAATGGAAAGTTGGAAGCTTGTCTTTCACTTTAGAAAAGATGAAAGCATCTTCTTTTTTATTAGTATAGATATATTATTACCACATTAATGTCGAGGAAAAGTAGAAACAAAGGTGGTCTAGTTTAACCCATAACAAAACACCAAGGACTGACAAAATAAATATTCTTAATTTGGTCTAAAAAGTTTGTGGAAGTAAGAAAAGCAGCTCATATTAATTGTTATCTCAGAAAGGGCCCGTCAGAGATCAAAAAGGCAAAACAGATGTAGGTCAGGAGTTGAGGTTAACAAAGGCAAAAATTAAAATCGAGATGCTTTAGTAATCTCCTTTATGTACAATTCCATAAAGCATTGGAAAAAACTAAAGTGTTTGGATGGACCAAATCAGCTCAAGCAGAATTTTCCAAAGCACGAAAGGCCAAAGTTGATGAGTATAGTATACGTAGTGATCCAATCACAGGCATCGTGCGTGGAATGTTTTATCAACACATTAAAGAAAATGAGCACTAGTAACTAAAAATATGTTATCCTAGAAGAAGCCCACTAATGATTTGACACAACTTGGATCTTGTCCTTGTACTCAACAAAAATTTCTCTCTCAAAGAATGGAAACAAGTTAGCCGCCTGGATGTCAGCAAAGTCCAAGTCTTGTGCAACACTAGTGTCTTTCCTTTTAATTTGTAATCATTTACTTATTTATTTGTTCTGTAATTAATTGAGAAGGAGAATAGTACTGCAACAGGCTGAGAATTAGATTGGCTGGATTTCTGTTCCAAAAGAGATTCAGGAATTAAATAGGCCGACTTCCATAGAATGGTTGAACAACGTGGGAAGCCATGGAAAACTTTTCGTTTGGATTGCTATTTTTAAAAGTTTTTATAAAAAAAAATGTATTATAACAATTTGATGTATGTGAGATTCAAATATAATTAAAAAATATATTCATAAAAACTATAAAAATTTTTCTGTAAAAAATAACAATCCAAATAAGACTAGTTTTGCATGGAGTCAATCGCAGTGACCGCCAACTTAAAAAAAAAAAAAATCAAGGTAAATATATTAACTAAACCTTGTATAGTGCAGCTTGAGCCTTTGCTCATTAGGTGTAAATTTTTACACAAGTTTAATATAATTCATTATCGTTTCCGGAAAAAAAAAAAAAACTAAACCAACATGTATTGGCTTGACTTCAAATTCATGCTTAACAATTGTCTCTCTCTCTCGTTACTATAACACAAGCATATTTCCCTTTCGCAAGATTAAAGTGTCTCGTCTCAATGCTCCCTTTTCCAGCCCTAACCCAAAAAAGGCTAGATAATATCATAGAGTCATTCATTCAAAAGAAGCACTAAAATATATGCACATAAAAAGCATCTTCACGTATCTTTCTACATTTGTTTGTGCTTCATTGTTTGGTCGTTTCCCGGAAAAGATCTAAAAGCTAAATTTTGGCGCACCATGCTGGTTGCTATCTACAATGAAGTCATCAAATTCGGGTACTGTATTTTATAACACCATCTACCCCAAGTAATTTATTGCTTTCAATGATTAATTACTTTCCCTACTCTTCCACTTTGTCATGTATTTTATGAGTAAATTTTATATACACTGTGAGTGTATACATCATTATGAATGACATATGAACAAAATTTTAATTTCAAATTCAAATTTTACATATATATTATATATTTAACTATGATAATGTATACTCCATATTTTATTGTTAAATCGTCATTGTCTAAATCAAGAAAAAGAACCCTTTTGCATAGCATTTGTTGCATTATCTAATATCAACCGGTAGCAAGTAGCAACAAATATTTTGTAAGTTATTTGTCCAAATATATTTGCTTATATCACCATTACAATTTCCAATACACCTTTTTATCTTCCCAATTACCTTTTTATCTCACATACATCACATCACAAAAAGTGCTACAGTAAAAATATCTCAAATAACTTACAATCCAAACACACTCATTATTTGTATTTGGTAACACGGCAAACAAGACAGAGTTTAAATTTTAACCTGGGCCGATCTAATGCTTGATTTGACAAAAAGACGTGTAGATCCATTGGGATTAACTGTTTTTGAAAAATTTTATTATAATAAAGTTTTTATAGTATATTTTAGAAAATATTTCGAAATATTTAAGAGTAGAAGAGTTTTTAGAATATATTTTAAAATATTTTTTAAACATTAAAAAAAATTTAGAATATTTTTTTAGATTACCTTTTAGAATACTTTTTAAAAATTTTAATAGTATTTGAAAAACTAATTTTTAAAAAACTCTTGAATCCAAAGAGAACCTGTAATCGATAAATGACCAATTATTGCAGTTGACAGTCTTACTGTACAAGGTGAGTTGCCAGTTTTCCTCGATAAAATGTAGGTCTTCTGTGGTCAAGAACATTTGTACTAGCTTCTTTATTGGCAGCATGGATTAACTGAAAATTTGTGAGAATTTTACAGAAATGCAGGAAAAGGGCAAAGAACCGCACTTTACAGAAAATGTGTTGATCTGAATGAAACAGGGGAATCCTCTTTGGCCATATTATGCGTCTTATCATATTTACATATTACCAAAGCTATAGTAGTCAAAGAGAAAATCTGGAAAGAAATTAGCTGGTAACATTTGGTTGAAAAATGCCTCCAACAGTATCAAAGTTATCAGTAGCTGATGTCTGGGGGACTTTGACAAAGTAAAAAGAGGTAAAGAAAGTTGTTACAGAGGCAAGAATGCCTAAAAATTCGCTCAAGTTAGTCTTCAAGTTTTACATGAAGTTATTGCTCTCGAGGCTGTTGTACAGGATCACTGACTTCGAATCAAAATTATAATGACTTCAGTTTAGCAATCTTCACAATTTAATTGTTCCTGGATCCTTTTACCTTCAAGAGAACATGTAAACATAATTCTGGATCATCTTCAATTCCTGCATGAGTCCAACACAGCAAGGCCATAAACAATTAGCTTGGCTTTCCAAAAAATGTCTTTCTAATACCTTGGCTATGAAAGAAAATTTTCAATTCAGTCTCATCCACTGACTCGGTTAAATTTTCCCAAGAAATCAAGGCTCTTACATAATGGAGAAGCTTCTGTGAGGTGGATATTGTTTGATTATGGCTCCCAGAGAGAGGAAGAGAGAGATAAACTCAAAATTAATAGTTACTTCCCCCTTCTAGCGAAGGCAGAAGTGGAACTATTCTCATTCCATTAATTGTTACATTACTGTGTTTTAAAGACCTGTCGATGTACAAGGACCAAATTACCTTAAGGACTTGACCTCTTCATGAATCAACCTTTGAGAGGAAGGATTGAATTCCAAAAACAATAAAAAGAACTCCACCAGAAAGTGCAACCTACACCCAATATTAACTAAGCTGTTAAAACAAATGAAAAATAAGGTAGAATAAGGAGAAATTAAAAATGAAAGTTACCAACCATTTTCTCAGATATCTGTTTTGCCAAACTTTTTCCTCCTAGGACAGCAGCTGTTGTGCACAAAGCTTGCCCTCTGTCAAACAGAAAGAAATGAGATAGAATTAGTACTTCCAAAACTTTCCTTTAACTGTTAGATCACGTGTCAATGAGGAAAAGTATAATGCTGCTTGAAGTTGCAAAAGCATTAACAAAGGAAGGGTCAAACCATAAGTGATATACAGAACCAGTTCCAATAGGATATCAATAAAGCTTACATGATCCCACCAAGAACAACACCAAATGGATTCTCATCCGCAGCCAAACCAATGGTAGCAAGCTGAAGAATTAGTAATTTGTATGTTATTCAGGAATCAAGAAACAGTTTTGTGGTCACCAGAACAAATACAGTTAAACCCCACTCTCGTCCTTTTGCATACCTGACTTTTGTCACCCCATTCCCCGAAAAACGTAATAGAAAATGCCTGCCATCAGTTGCAAGTTAATAGTGGAGAATCACATACTAATATCCACAATCTAAAATTAACAGTCTATGAGAACCAAAACCTTCAGAAGGATGGGCGAGAAGAATTGAGCAAGAATTGGCTGCTTTTGCTTCTTCAAATCATCATCAATCTGGGAGATGCACATAATTAGAAAAATAGAATCTTGGAAAAGCACAAGTAGTGTGGTAGCAGAACTGCTGGCATTCTACATCCAATTCCCAATTGAAGACAAGACAATAAGCCAATGAACCTGCAAACATCTAAATCTATGATACATTTACACAGACCCCCCCCCCCCTCTTTAAATAGTTTATGAGGAACTACAGTATAGTTAGACATGCTTTAGTGAAGTCAAGGCTAGCCTACTTTATAGGACTTAGCGCAGACAGATGCACCTCAAATTAGTCGGAGTTGAACCAACTTTAGGACCAAAATGAAAATCAAGTTCCATTTGAAGAGGAGATGTGTTGTACTAGAACAAATCTTATCTCGTCCCAATTTTAAGGATCCCATAACTAAGTGGTCCTCATAAGTGGAGGTATTCATCAGAATAAGATCAACAATGACAATACCTTATTCTTGTCTTTAGTTATTCCACCGTTGGCTTTTAAATCAGCATCCTTGTAAGCGAAAAGTTATCAAGGACAAGCAAGGCAAGTTAATTAGTAACACGAATAACTTACTGAGGTGAAAAAATACTGTCGCATAGTACAGAAATATACCAGTTTTGCTTCAACTTCAGCCAATTCTTCAGCCTCCCTGTAACAAAAAACAGCATAAGGATCATCAGTGTGAAAGTAAAGAAAATGAATGTAATAATATTAGGCTAACAATATATAATTAAAGAGAGATTGCTATGTCCAGAGAGCAAGGCCATTGTTTCCCCATCTTAAAGTGAGGGGTTGATCTACTAGCCCCATTCTCCTCTCACCTCTTCATCCTTCTCCTTCTAAAAAGATACCATACAGGAACAAAAACAAGAGCATTACCCATCATGAAATGCATCCCACAGCGACCATAGTCCAAAACCCAAAAACAGTAATGTCGTGATATGATGAGTCCATGCACGCGGAATCTGCAGTCAAAGTTCAAGACATTGATGAACAAATTATGAAATCCATCCAGAAACCATAGTTATTGCCAGAACCTAAAAGGGAATAAGTAAACTATGGCTTAGTATCATAAATAGCAAGGGCTGTCATGGCAGTATTACTGAGGCACAGCATGTTTATAAAGTTTAACTTCAGAGTCTCTACATTCAAAAACTCCATCTTAAGGTTCAATTATGTGTCCACTTGTAATTACACTTTTCCCTTCCCATAGCCCACCTTTCTGATCCCAGACCAAACCAAAATGCAATGACATAACGAAATACTAGCATCTAGTGCCCCTATGGCATCAATATCATTTCAATCTTACCAGATTTGGAGCAGCCCAGCCAACAAGAGCAGAAAAGATAGTCATTACCTGGAAGCCGGAAGAAGAAACAAAATAAATTGTAAGTAACACCTAACGGTTGCAGTTATAAGCTCAAAGAATGAGTAGGTCCAAAAAATTCTTACAATTAGAGCTGAAAGGCAACCAGACAAAACTAGTCTTCTGGGATGGCGCATCGCCAAGATCTAGCAACAATCAGAAAAACATATAAAGACTTGGGCAACTTTTTAAGTTATTGTACCATAATAATATCATCTAGATGCTAAAATGTCATTCTAAATTTTGCGAGCGGGATTGCCATTGGACAGGTTTAGAGCTCATATGATAAGAATTAAAACCTCATGCAAGGAGGAACACTAGATGACTTCTGGTAAGGAAACTAAGAAACATCATCCCATTGAAGACTTGTTTAAAACAGACCAGTCAGTTTAACAGGGAGGTGCCTGAGAGAATCCTGAAAAACATTGTGTAATAAATGAATTCAACTGGTTGGATCATGTTCAGCAGCTGTTAATCATCTTGAGTGTGTCGAACAAAATGATTACACTATTGCAGAAGATTGAGCTCATCTGATTAAGGAAGAAGGGGAAAGAGAGTTCAATTTAAACAAACAGACCTACTTTTCCAATCTTTTATGCCAGAAAAAGATGAATATTAGTCACTAAACAAGGAACATCTTCCATATGGTGAATTTGATGATATAGCACATGCATCCAACATCAACAGCAGAGAATTTTACACTGAGAAAAGTAAGGGGGAAAAATGCGATTCCCAAAATTATTTGGTCAATAGAAGTTTGTCTTCCATGCAAAATACAATCTTTGCCTGGAAGCCAAAAGATCCTTCTTCTTGGATAAGTAGATTAAATCTTTTTATGCAGCAAAATTGATTCATCCCTTTAATTCAGGAATGTGAGTTGAATATTATTTTGAAAATTTATTATCTCTGATTAAAGTTGCACTTCCCCAAGTGATCCGAGACTGTTCCACATAGTATGTGGTTCTATAGGAAGTGAAATGCCTAACAAAAATGTGCTTCGCAATACAGTAATCCTAAATGCTAAAGAAATTTTGATAAGCACAAACTTGTACCACTTCATGGACAAACAGGCATACCCAGCTTCTCAGACACTATAATTGACAATCTATGGTAATTACCTCACTGAAATTAAGTTCCTGGAATTGAAACTTGGCTCATTTCCTCGCTTTTCTGTCAATGTCCAAAACTACTTATTTCTTTTTGACAGTCCTTGTGAACTGACAATGACAAGAAGCTATACTCCGAATGCCAAACTACAGGAGCGAAAAGCCCAATTCTAACAGCTTATTCAATTCTTTAATTCTGTACCACAAACATCATATGCCGAAATAAAACTTCTGGCATAATATGAATAAATGTGCATTAAGCTACGCACAGAAGATTTATGACCAAAATAACTAACAAAATGCAAGCAAATGCTCATTACCAGGCTGAAAGCTCTTTGTTGATGATTTTTATTGTAATACCCAACTAATGGAGATTATTTTTTGCTTGTTCTTTAAAAAGCATCAACTACGCCTTAATAGTCTAAAAGTTACAGGCCATAATCTGGATTTGGACAATCAAAAACAGTAACAACCACAGATGATGGTCACAAATAGAATGCAAACACCGGCTCATGATAAATGCAAGAATTCAACGACAGACTCATAAAATTGTTCCAGTCATCCCTGCACTCAAAAAAAACAAGTGCATGAGATAGAGCATCCAACAACCGACAAGAAAAGGGATATAAACTTGCACCTACGAAGAAAAATTCAGATTCCTGAAAATGGATATAAGAACTTGCAACTTTGAAGAAAAATTCAGATTCCTGAATGCCCATATGGCATCTTATTCTTATTGGTGGTAGGAATCTAGTTCCTCTTATTCTTTAAACACAGTAAAGTGAATTAAAAAAGCATCTTTTCATTTCTTAATCGTATCCTTATTATTTTTAATCTGCTTTTCAACCTTCAAATGAAGGTTTAAAAAAATGACAATGCCAACATATTAACGATATAATTAAGGACCCATAGCCAATCATTCTTTGCAAATAATAACAGACGTAGCTAATAAAGCCCCCATAAAATCCACGAACTTAAAACGGTAAAAGGAGGAAAAAAAAGCGAACTTTCAATTTTTGTAACTTATATAAATCATTAAACTACAATTAAGTTCCTCAACAGCTAGCTCAATACCAGCCTAAAAAACTAATCTACTTTCAATTTCAAATAGCCAAGGAAAAAACGTAATACTAATCCAGTAAATTGCCCAAAGAAAGAACAAAGAAAAGAAAAGGTCATATGACTTACCGCGGCGGCGAAAAATGTTTTGTCTCCGATTTCGGATAGGACAGTCATCGCCAGCGACTTCGAAAAACCCTTTCAAGATTTGCAGATGAAAACACATAAATTTTACCAACCAAAAAACCTTTCAAAAAGAAATAAAATCACAAACACATACAGTAGACAAGAGAACTGAAGCAAAATTGTGAAAATTTATTACTTGAACAACTGAGAAACTCATCTTTCTTCAAGCTGGCGACCGATGAAGAAAGAATGAAAGAGAATAGAAAGAGAGATCGAGAGCAAGATTTGTGGAAAGCGTGAAAGAGCTGAGGATTTTTTTGGCTGGTAGCGTGTACTATATGCTACCAACCAAGCATCCGTCTAGTGTGTGTGACGAGTGGAGGCGAAAATTTTTTGAAAGAGTAGTTTGTTTGGATGTTGTATTATATAAAGGTTAGACTGGGCAAACTTTAGAATTTCTTTTCTTGTTTACTTATCTAATTATTTCAATATAATTGAATTATGAAATAGTAAATACCGTAGTTTTTGGTTATTTAATTAGGCGGGTTGGTTAATTTCGGGAGGTAGCAAGAGACATTAGAATTTCATTTTATGAGATATTGTTCAGTATTAGACTTTTATTTTGAGCCTTAACATAGTGTTGTAGACTTTTAATTTTGCCTCATAATTGAGAAGCTTTAAAATTTTTAAAGTTTATCGTTGACTTATACATTAAATAATAAGTTTATTAACAATACTGATGTCATGCACTTGTGCTAACAAAGCAACTCTTGTTAATTAAAACTATCACTCAGTCCATTATATCTATCCACTTTTCCTGTCTAATACAAAACTACTTAGTTCTATTTGTTAATACTGCTGATATGGCACATAACATAGAATGCATTTTTAAGGAGTGTTTGGGTTATGGCCTCCATTAGGCCCCATTGGTTCCACAGTTAATTTCAATGGCATCTTAATTCCAAACCTACAAGATTATAAAGAAAAAAATAACTGATTACAAAACGAATCTCACACCATAGTGATCCCAATGAAATATTTTTAAAAGATTCAGCAAGTTCACTTCCAAAAAATACAAGTCTCACTGAAAATTTTTTTTGTAGTACGAACTCAACAAAATTCAATAGAATTAATTAAACCACCAATATTAATTTTTACACTAAAAATTGATTGGTGTAAAAAATGTTCACACCTTTGTACAAGATTATCCAATCGAATGCATAATGTTTGTAAGTATTTCATTTTGAAATAAAAAAAAACATTCAATTACATTTATTTCTATCCATATATCATTTATTTTCTAATATGAATTTTTATTATTATTTTAAGATCCATTTTCCGCAAAAACGCAATTCCTGAATGATTTACAAATTTTGTCATACTTTGAACTATTATTAGACAAATCTTAAATTTTAATTATGTTGGTATAATTTTTTAACTTTTTTCAAATTAAAATGATATAATCTTTTAATTTATTTCAATAACGTAAGCACTGTGCGTAGCACGGGTATTCACACTAGTTTTAGTGGGGAATGTATGCTTATTAACTTGGTTCAATGTATGGGCTTTTAGATTTGGCCTTATTTTATCATCTTATTAGAAGTTTAAAACGGATGGGGCTAGCTTATTGTTAACTACTGTTTTGTAGTAGTCCATCTGAAAACCCATGTTTTCAGGAGATGTATCGTGTCATTCGAACTTACAGCAAAGGAAGGCTCTACTGTAACAAGGCTGTGAATGGAGGTTCAATTGGAACTAGTAGAGTCAATGGTGGTGTGAATGGGTCTTCTAGTGGTTGTGAGGCTGGTGGTCTGGTTGTGAATGGGTCTTCTTGTGGTGGTGGTAGCGAGGCTGTTGGTGTGAAGGGGAGTTCTAGTGGGGCTATCCATAGAGTGAAGGTTGGTGTTGGTAGGGCGAGGAGCGGTAGCAATGGGGGAGCTAATGGGGGTGGGCGTAATCATAGTAGTAATGGAAATAGGGGTGGTGATAATGGGGGTGATGGTAGTGCACTTGGGATCTTCGGTGATATATTTTCTATGCCAATTCAATGTCACCTCTAATATTACGCCAAGTGTCCTATTATTATTTGCATTTTAATTCTTAATAATTCAAATTGATTTGGTTTAACACAAGTTTTCTCTACCCTCTAAACCTTTGAACCAAAATTAACCGACCGGTCTAATTCATGTACCAATACTTTCATCATTGATTGCCTTCAAACTCTCCAATCCACTCCAATGAGGTCCACACTTCAATGTTGTCGTCCTTTTGATTCCTCCACCAGCTCCACCATTCCACGTGGCGTCATCTTCACTGCCGATTGCCTCACCGTCAAAGGCATCTTCACTGCCGATTGCCTCACCATCAAAGCCCTTCTTTTTCGAGCTCTCCACTGGAGGCAATTTTATGTACTTAATGGCTGAGTTATAGAAGGAGGAAGAAGATTGGATCAACTCCATCGGATGCTCAATTGTGCAGCGTTCCAAGTCCATTACTGATTCTGAGGTCATCGATTACGATAGCAAAAGGGCTTAATGTCTGACTTTCCAATGTAATTTTGGCTTTGCCCTTCTACTTGTGGACTGGTCCTAGTATTCACCAAACGTTCTTCCTCACGACAACGCCGTCTACAGAGCTCTCCTTTGCTCCAACTCTGGCCTCTGTAACTTTTCCTATTGCTGATTTCTTTCCCAGGTTCTTGTTCATTCTTTTTTTCCATTTTCCCCACTTTTTTATGTGCCCATTTTCTTGCAGATGACCTTTTTGGCGATCCAAGGTGATTGGTGACCCCTATTGCACGATTTTTGTGGGCCGTCTTTCCCACTCTACCACTGAAGAAACTCTTCGCTAGGTCCCTTTTTTTATTTAAGTTTCATTTTCTTGATTTTCACTTTGTTTTGTTGTTTTTTTATTATGGCGTTTTATTTGAAAAGATTACTTTTTTGAGCTTATCTGTTGAATTGGGGGATATGGGTTTTGTCTATTTCTTTAGGCTATAAGCAGATATGGAAGAGTACAGAACTTGAGATTAGTTAGATACATTGGTTAGTTACTAATTTATCCACTTATTTATGCTGTTCAGTTTTTTTTTGGTCAACTTTAATTTCAATTGTATTTTCGATTTTGAGTATTATTGTGTTATATTTTACTTGTCTGTTTATGATTTGTAAAGGAAGTTATAGTTTTTCTACAATTAAATGTGAAGCACCCTAACAACCACCAATCGTTACAAGTATTACCATTTGGGATCCTCAACAACAAACTTGTTTGTGTTCTAATTACTCGTGTGTTCCTCAAAATTGACGCTATTTTATTGATTGTTGAACCTATAGAACTGCTGGCTTATCACAAATGATCTGCATAAGTTGAGTTGAATATATGTGGCAGAAACTCAGCAAGTGTTATTTGTGAAAAATGGTAGAATTTGATGTATTTCAATTTGGATTTGATGTCATGGGGCTGTTCTGCTGTAAAACTTTGATGCTTGATTAGTCTTGTATGGCAGATTTCGTGAAATTAGTTATTAAGTCGAGCCTTGTTCCTAATTATTAGGTGCCATTTTCATCTAAAGTTACAATTCCATAGGCAGCTCACTGTTTCATTAGTTTATGACATGCATATATATATATATATATATATATATGTGTGTGTGTGTGTGCTTGATATCTTCAACACCTTAAAAGAATGTTATCTGAACAAAATAAATCTCTTTACTCTCAAATATATATCATGCCAAATTGTAAGAGAATTAATTATGCTGTTCAAATTTAGTAGTGTCATTGCATTACTCAACTTCTAAAACAACTCAAGTCAGTCAGTCTTTCAATGTTTTAACTTTTAAAGTATGATACAACACAAAACCACTTGTAACAGCATAGATTGACTATACTCCAATCTGGAGCACTACATATTGCGACAATGAATTTTTGAAATGGCCAAAATGAGCTTAATCTTTGCAGAAATAAAAAGCTTTAGATGAACAACAGAAAACTGCCCAAACAGAATGCCACCTGAAATGCAGACTCTAGATTTTTTGAGATTAAATAACAGAATGATGCATACACTTCTTACATTAGTGAAAAGGTTTTTTTTTTTTTTTTTGGAAATTCAGTTTAGAATTGATGTTGCTGCATAATACCAAAAGATATAGATATGACTATGATTCCTTACTACTACCCTTAAAATCCATAGGACGAGGTTTGATTTGGTTGAATTGAGGACTAGGGAGCAAATGAATTACATAAAAAGGGAGCAGGTTTTTTTTTCTTAACATTCTCTACTTCTTTTAATCAACTTATAATCCTTGATGATTGCTGGAGAGCTATGTAACCCATTCTTCATTTTTACTAAATTGGTATTCGTTTTGGATGTTAGTTGTTCAGGTTGCTTATTTCAATTTTGACAACTTGTTCCTTATATTAGGTGCCATCTTCGTCTAAAGCTACAATTCCAGAGCCAAATGTCTTACAATTTCTCAGGCAGAGTTTGAGGTCACGTACTATAGCATGGCCTACATCAAACTCCAGATCAAGCCTCACCAGTGCAGCAGCAAATGATTTGACATCTTTGGGTCCTAATCTGAAGCAATCACCAGTATGATAGGTTATTTAAAAACCAAAACTTTTTCCTTGCACTAATTTCTTCATGAGTTTAATCCGTGCATAAATATGATTCATATCTGAAAGCCCTTAAAAGAAGGATATCTGGATGATATAAGTCACTTTAGCTTCAAACTTTTGCTATGGTTCTGTCCCTTAATTTGGGTCTTGCCAAATCCAAAGGATAATCACTAGTCTATTTTTTTGAACTGCCTAATTTTGGCTTTGCCCTTCTACTTGTGGACTGGTCCTAGTATTGTGTCTGTTTGCTATAACATACAACTGATTCCTTCCCTGCCTCCATATTTGTCTAACCTTTGCATGTTCCTTATCGTACATAGGAAAGTCAATTAGTTTTCACAAGGCCTCTGCTCCATTTCAGTAATTTATTCCTACCTCTAAGAGAAAGTGCTTTTTGGGAATTCTTTTTTTTCAAGTAATTATTTTCTTTGTCTGACATATTTTCACTAATACTGCTGAATATTTATCTCTTTTCCTGAATGATTTGGAAATTTAGTCTTCTTTTTCACAATTTGGTGTTGCAGGGTGAGCTTGGAGCAAATGCAATTTTAGCAGTATCCATGGCTGCTTGCAAAGCTGGTGCAGCCGAAAGGGAGGCATATGAATGATCTTTTTGGCATTTGGTTTTCACTTAACTAAACTAGAAGCGATTTATCTGCTACGTGTGATAATTTTTACTTGCAGGTTCCACTGTACAAACACATTGTAGTTCTTTCGAGCAAAACAAATCTTAGTCTTCCTATTCCTATACTGGTATGTCTGTCAAATATTTATCTTTCTGTCTTTGCTCTAT